CGGGCCGGAAATGGCGACGACGGGGCACGCCCCGTGTCCCTGTACGAGAGCAGCGAGCCGGGCCCCTCGGGCGCTCCCTGACCGCAGCTGGAACCCCTGGCGCCTGGAGCCGTACCCGCCCGGTGAGTGTCGGGGCCGGACAGTCTGGGCAGCGCTGGAGCTGCAGAGCTGCTGCCTGCGCCACGGGGCTGGGACCAGGACGGAAGGTTACTGGTGCCTGAAGTCAGTCATGAGACCCTGCACACAGCGGCGCCAAGGAAGGCCCTCGGAGCTCCTCCGCTCCGCGGCCAGCTGCGCCCAGGGACTCCCCCTGAGCGGGACGCTGCTCAGAGCAACACGCGAGCTGCCCGGGCTGAGCAGACAGCTCTGGGCTGAGGCTCCTCGAGACTCATCCTTCGCCCACTGAGAAAGCGTTTGGTTTGGAGTGGGTATTTCTTCATGAGGAAGAACTTCTTCCCTCTGAGGGTGACGGAGCACTGGAACAGGCTGCCCAGCGAGCTTGTGGAGTCTCCTTCTCTGGAGATATTCAAGACCCGGCTGGGCAAGGTCCTCTACAGCCTACTGTAGGTGACCCTGCTTCGGCAGGAGGGTTGGGCTAGGTGACCCACAGAGGTCCCTTCCAACCCCGACCATTCTGTGATTCTGTGATTTCGCTGAACTCGAGGGGAATTTTTATGATTTTGTGTGTGCGTGAATCGATTCAAAACAGTCTTCTGTCACTGTGATTGTAACAGCAAATTCTTTCTAATCGCTCAGTAAATGTGCAGTTAGCCAGCGACTAACAGCTGCCAACTTCCTCTTGACGCGCGGAAACAAACTCCGACATGGCCGCAAAGCTGTGTAACAAAATAAAACTAAAGCCGTAGCGAAATCGAATGGAATGTCCATTTCCCACACCACCGTGACTGTCCTCAAACCGCGAGCGCGCCCTGGGCTGCTGCGAGACACGTTCCTCAGGCACAGCCCGCGGCGGCCTGAGCCCGGCTCTGCATCCCGCCGCAGCCAGGCCCCTCTCCGAGAAGGAGTCCGGGGAGCGAGGGGCTCCAGCCCCAACCCGGCGACTCAGCGGGAGGGCTCCCGGCCCCTGGCACTTCGCTTCTACTCTGTATAAACCGTTTTCCACTCACCCCCCAATTCGATTTTGTATTCCATTGACTCCGTAAGTAACAGAGTGAACCTTGCCAGCGGACTCTGTAAGATCACGTTTTCTAAATTCTCAGTAAAATCTTTTCTTGCGAAACCTCTGAGTGATCATCTCAGCGACCCGACTACTCATCCGCCACACAGCGCGCCGAGCACCGGCCAAACCCGGGCGAGCTGTCAGCGGGAGGTCACCGCGCTGGGCTGTGCATCGCCCCGCTCCCTGTCCAGGGACTGTCTCTCGGGGTAACGATGCCACCGAAGAACCCACAGCAGAAACCGGAGCAAACCGGGCCGGGAGGCAGGACGCCATTCCATCTCCCAGCCCAGCAGTGTAACGGGGAGTGGAGCAGCGAGCCAACCCCCCAGGCTGGGGCTTCAGGCTGACGG